CAATTGATGTCCGAAGTCAAGTCGTCGTGTTTTCAAACTGTGTTTAAGATTTGTGGGTTCGGCCGTAGGATAGACAGAAGGACAGAAAGGTTAAGCTTGTTGCCAGAAACAGGAATGATCTTTATGACAACCGCTGACAGGGAGGGAATTTGCCTGCATCTAACAATCTGTTGAATTCAGTTTATTTACATAGGGTATGTCATCATCTTACAGTAGAGGAGCCGAGCGCACGGGCGTATTATCTTATCTCCGAGTAACCTTCAACTGGGCTCCGGCGTGCCCGTTGCATCCTTGCTGCCCAGTGCTCATCAATCTCCTCGTCCATCGTTCAACCCCGCTACTTCACCTTCTCTTAGACTCAACAAGAAAGCAAACGACTTGCCATGACCTGTGCATTCCAGGCAATTTCTGAATCTCGCCAACGCTGAGCGCTCCCTTCTCTCGACTTGATCATTCGGACCGAACCGGGTCGATGCAGCAGAACTCGAGAGGCGCCCCCGAGCAGAGGAGCGGTAAGCGCAAGTCGATCAGCAAGAGGAAGCTTTCTGATCAAGAAGAGGCGGCATTTCGGTCTCAGAACTCGCAACAGCATCCGCAGCAGCAACAGCAGGCGACCATCTCCGAGCTCTTATCCAGGAACCATACCCACGCCAAGGGTTATCCCCAGCAGTCCCCTCCAACGAACAAGCGTCCTCGGCTATCGCCATCATCGTACTCGCGAGCCCCAGTTTCGTCACAGGAGCTTCATCCGCCGGACAAGATGTACAATTTTTCGAATTCGGAACATCGAGCAGGTGGGGCGTTTGCGCAGAGCTCCCCGGCCAGCACGACAGTCAAGCCCCATTTCTCGAATACATCGTCGCGTCAGAGTAATTTCACCCCTCATACTGGCGCAAAGAGGCTCGTGGTTAAGAATCTCCGGACGGGCTCGCGGTTGAATCAGGATTCATACTTTGATAAGGTCTGGGCACAGCTGGATGCAGCGCTGAGCGCCGTATTCAGCGGCGGGAAGCCCGAGGTTTCACTGGAGGAACTTTACAAAGGGGCAGAGAACGTGTGTCGTCAGGGAAGAGCCGTGGTGTTGACCCAACGGCTGCAGGACCGATGCCGAGCGCACGTGTCTGGGGGTCTGCGGGACGAGTTGTTGGCTAAGGCAGCTGATGGGAGTAACGTGGATACATTGCGGGCTGTGATTGACGCATGGAGCACTTGGAAATCAAAATTGGTAAGTTGATTACGCATGGCGGCTTGAGTTTGTCCTTCGGATGATTGATAGATTTGTTACAGGTCACCATTCGGTGGATCTTCTACTACCTCGATCAATCTTTCCTACTTCATTCCAAAGAGTTTCCCGTCATCCGTGAAATGGGCTTGATTCAGTTTCGGAGTCACATATTCTCCGACCCTGTATTACAAGCGAAGATTCTACAGGGGGCTTGTGACCTTGTTGACGCGGACCGCAATGAGGATCATGTCATGATGGCAGATTCGTCTTTGCTCCGAAATGCTATTGAACTCTTTCATGGACTTGATGTCTACACAACGGCTTTTGAGCCTCTTCTTCTTTCTGAGTCGAAGCGATTCTTTTCATCCTGGGCTCAGCGAGAGTCATCTGGATATCTTGCAACATTCGTGGAGAACGGCCATAATTTAATATCGAGAGAAGTCAAACGCTGCGAGCTATTCTCTCTGAACAGGAGCACCAAGCAGAAGCTGTCTGAACTTCTCGATCGCGTCTTGGTAGCAGATCAAGAGTCGGTATTACTTAACGAGAAGGACGTTCTTGGCTTGCTTCGAACTGGCAATAAGACCGCTCTGGAGAAGCTCTACACTCTTTTAGAGCGGAGGCAACTTGGGACGAAATTGAAGCCAGCTTTCAAGAATTATATTGTGGAAGAAGGCTCGCAGATTGTCTTTGACGAGGAGAACGAGGCGGAAATGGTCGTTCGTTTGCTAGATTTCAAGGCACAGCTGGACGATACATGGGTCAACTCGTTCCACCGCAATGAGGAGCTGGGTCATGCACTCCGCGAAGCTTTTGCGACCTTTATGAACAAGAGCCGGAAATCGGAATCTACCGGCGGGACAGACAATGTCAAGACCGGCGAGATGATTGCCAAGCACGTAGACAAGCTGCTCAAAGGTGGATGGAAGCTGGTTCCTGGGCGCAATATGGTGGACGTACCACTGGCCGATGAGGACGCTGAGATTAACCGACAACTGGATCAAGTACTCGATCTGTTTCGATTCGTCAACGGCAAAGCAGTGTTTGAGGCATTCTATAAGAACGACCTGGCTCGTCGCTTATTGATGGGCCGAAGCGCCAGTGATGATGCGGAGAAGAGCATGCTGGCAAGGCTCAAGACCGGTGGGTTCCGACACGCATCGTCTTTGGTTGACTGCAAGCTGACTTGTTGAACAGAATGTGGTTCCACGTTTACACATAATCTCGAGTCCATGTTCAAGGATATGGATGTTGCGCGAGACGAGATGGCTGCTTATGCCTCCATTCAGCGCGAACGGAGGAAACCACTGCGGATCGATCTGAATGTCAGCGTGCTCTCAGCCTCTGCATGGCCATCGTATCCTGATGTGCAGGTGCGGATTCCACCGGTCGTTGCAGAAGCGATCGACGACTTTGAGACATTTTACTACAACAAGTACAACGGGCGAAAACTTAACTGGAAGCACCAGCTGGCACACTGCCAGCTACGGGCCAACTTTTCGCGCGGACAGAAGGAGCTGGTGGTCAGCTCGTTCCAAGCGATCGTGCTCCTGCTTTTCAACGACATTCCTGAGGGCGGAAGTCTGAGCTATCCTCAGATTCAGGAAGCGACGAAACTTTGTAAGTGTTTCTGCTAGCGAGATTATCGGTTGTATCCGTCACTGACTGCTTCGATGCAGCCGACCAGGAGCTCCAACGCACACTCCAGTCGCTTGCATGTGCCAAGTATCGGGTCCTCACTAAGAAGCCGAAGGGACGAGACGTCAATCCTACCGATGAGTTCTCATTCAATGCGGGCTTCACGGATCCGAAGTTCCGGATCAAGATCAATCAGATTCAACTAAAGGAGACAAAGGAGGAGAACAAGAAGACGCACGAACGGGTGGCGGCCGACCGACATCTTGAGACGCAGGCGGCCATCGTGCGGATCATGAAGAGCCGCAAGCAGATTTCACACGCTGAACTGGTTGCAGAGGTGATCAAGGCGACGCGGAGCCGAGGAGTGTTGGACGTAGCGGAGATCAAGAACAATATTGAAAAGTGAGTGGTCTTTTCCATACTTCCTCTAGGACGAGTACTGACTGTTAGCCAGACTGATTGAGAAGGATTACATGGAGCGAGACACGGAGACCAGTTCTAACATGTACAAATATGTCGCATAAGAGCAATTGCACTGTGCCGTTAGAGAAGCTGTGACCATTTTTATCCAGCATTTATTCTCTCATTATGACCTTACACCAATGACATTCATTTATGACCTGATATGCTTCACAATTCTTCTTTGACTTGTGGTCATTCATGGTTTTTACCAGAGTTTGAACTACTGCGTAGCTCCCAAGCTGCCAAAGTCTAGGCTAGAACTGCGAGTCTGGGACTGGGAAGGTCGGGAAGTCTGCAACACACCCGGAGTAGCTCCGACCCCACAGGAGCAGTGAGCATCGGAGTAGCCAGCTGGCGGGAATACAGTAGCTGGATTACATTGAAAGGTAAGCAAGTGGACATTGTAGAACTAAGTTGGTAGTGGTACTCGACCGAGAAGCGAACGGAATAATCAAAGGTAGGCATAGTGCCACGGCTCTGGTTCTATCTATCTTTTGCAAGTTCACGTGGGTTGAGTTCATCCTAGTTAGTGTTCTAGATAGTCAGGATGCGGTAATGATAGTTACAACTGTGGATTCAAGGGATCTGACAGCAGGGAGCTACTATTTTATGTAGTACGCAGATGAACCCATTATTATTTTTCTTCGGGTCTCATGACCATGATCTTTGATTGTGTATTGCATGTATCAAAACGCATACTCTGTTCGGTCAAGTTGCCCGGCTCATCTTCTCTTCTGAGGACTTATGCAAGGAGATTAGGCTTAATGCCACATGATCTTAATTTGCTGATTGCTGAATATCAGATAACTAGCTATTGCAAACAATCTTGTCATTATTATCATCTTTGGCAACCTGATTGAGGTTATGTCGAGTTGAGACCCGTTTGGATAGACATGCAATAATAATGTTCAATCTACACAACAAGATAGGATGATGTTACTATTGCTGGACGGCTGACGGAATTACCCTAGAGGGTAAGCCGAAACTGTCTCCAGTCCAGACTCAAGACCCCACGATTAATGGGGTGCACTGGGCACATCCATCTACTCCCCCTTCTTACATTGATAGTCATCCCACAGCATGGGTCACTATGGAGGGAAGGCTAACCGTGGTACCTTAGTACCCCTAGTACTATGGGTCGACTACAGAAGTATAATTGTTCATGTGAGCAGCAAAAACGGGGAAAAGAGAACAGGCCCGGCACTCCAGATGTGGATATCATTGAGTATATATACTGCTCCTCCCCTCTCGAATGATTCTCCTCGAGCATGGTCTAGTCTATGTATCAAAAAGAGCATCCAACTGACAGATGACAGGTCCAAACTTGATCACAGGCTACTCCACTTTTTCCCCACCTCTCACAGACTGCAAACCGACTCCTAAATCGAACCGTTGACTCTGGAGATCCCCGTCGCAGTCAATCCCTGGTGCAGTCGCTTCCAGTCATCCCGCGGGCTTCGCATTGAGGGGAAATAACGCCCAGAAGTTGTCCCATTGGAACTCATCCCGCGCGAGACAGTTGCCGGAAGATTATTTAAAGCGACGAGGGGTTGTCTCTCCGTAGTTCCAGCGACATTCTCGTATCTGTTTGAGATCTTGATATTCCCCGACTTTCTCCACTTTAACACGGCGCAACTCCGGATTTAACGATTGTCTCGCTCCACATTTTGACATCATGCAGAGTACGTCTCACTTCTCTCAATGTGTCCAATTTTCGATTTCATCACATGCGCATTTCGCAAATCATGGAGTCGGATGTCTCAAGTAGACCACTGTGGTTGTATTGCGCTAACGATTTGGCTTCATAGCCAAACATTTTTTCGACGACCCGAATCACCTGGTCCAGACAGCTCTCCATTCCCTGACACTCACAAACCCATCGCTCGCATTTGATTCGAAACACAAGGTTATTTTCCGTCGCCCGGATGCATCCAGGAAATCCAAGGTGGCCATTATTTCAGGTGGAGGTTCCGGTCACGAACCTGCGTTTGCGGGCTACGTCGGCCATGGGCTCATGGACGCTTCTGTGGCTGGCAGCATCTTCGCCTCTCCGTCTGCCGAACAGATTCGCCATGCCGCCATGAACTGCGTCGACAACGAAAAGGGCGTGTTGATCATACCTATGAATTACACCGGCGACGTCCTCAACTTCGGCATGGCTGCCGAGAAATCGCGGGCTGCAGGAGTCAAGACCGAATTCTTTGCCATTAATGATGACGCGGGCGTCGGCAAGAAGAAGGGCGGAAAAGTTGGCCGTCGCGGTATCGGTGGTGGCATCCTCATCTTGAAGATCGTCGGGGCCTTGGCCGAGGCTGGGTAAGTTGAGAAGCAGCACGATTCCGGGCAACAGCTAACATCGTTCAGTGCATCGCTCGAAGACGTGCACCGCGTCGCTCAATTAGCAAACGCTAACCTTGCGTCTGTGGGTTCCTCCCTGGAGCACGTCCATATTCCTGGTAGAGGAGTCCCAGAGGATACCATTCCTGATGGGGAAGTGGAGGTTGGCATGGGCATTCACAACGAACCGGGATCCCACCGGATGAAGTTTTCGCTTCCAGCAGTGATCAAGACTATGCTCTTGCAGATCCTGGATCACAACGACCCAGACCGCGCTTTCCTGCCTCATCAGCCAGGCGATGAGTTCGTGCTGCTCATCAACAACCTGGGTGGCGTCAGTACCCTCGAGCTCTCGGGTATTACCGACGAAGTATACCGCCAGCTGAAGAAAGATTTCAACATCAAGCCTGTGCGCATCATTCAAGGGACCTTCCTGACCAGTCTCAACGGACTAGGCTTTAGTGTTTCACTACTGAAGCTCGCGGATACGGGACTGGGTCCTGGCAAGTCTATGCTCGAGCTCCTCGACGCGCCTGCCGAAGCCGTGGGCTGGTCTGCTCCTATCCGCACATCGACATGGGATGCGCACCAATCCGATGCTTCTGTGGAGGTTAAGAGCACTAAGCTTGCTGAGGACCAACCCAGTAACATCAAGCGTACGTGCCTATGGCATTGTTTGTCTTTCTCTTTGCAGCGCTGATAATGTTACAGTGGACCCAGCCATCCTCAAGAAAGCCCTCGGATCCGGACTCAAGCGAGTCATTGATGCCGAGGCGCTGGTCACCCGGTACGACACCATCGTCGGCGACGGCGACTGCGGCGTGGGCCTGAAGCGCGGCGCAGAAGCCGTCCTGTCCCTCCTGGAAGACCCATCGTCCAACCTGACCGACGACGCCGTCACCGCCGTCAACCGCATCGTAACCGTCGTGGAGAACACCATGGACGGCACCTCAGGCGCCATCTACTCCATCTTCCTGAACGCGCTCGCGCACGGTCTCCGCGCCCAAGACCAAGGCACCCCAACACCCGCAACTGCCGAGGTCTGGGCCGACGCTCTCAAGTACTCCATCACCGCGCTGGGGAAGTACACCCCCGCGCAGCCGGGCGATCGCACCCTGATCGACGCGCTAGTTCCCTTCTGCAACACGCTGGTCGAAAGGAAGGACGTGCATGCGGCTGCAAAAGCCGCGCAGAATGGAACCGAAGCCACCAAGGGCATGAAGGCGAGTCTCGGACGGAGCGTTTACGTCGGTGGCGAGGAGGAATGGGTCGGCAAGGTTCCTGACCCTGGTGCGTATGGGTTGAGCGAGTTCCTGACCGGGCTCGCTGAGGCGTTTTGAGGGTTCATCTTTGTTCCTGCATCAAGTATATAACCCTTTGGATATCTTCTAAAATAATTTATGATGATGACGATAATGATATACTCTTTCCTTATCCATCATCCGCTTCCGGGACGTTGTAGGAAGAGCATGAGGTAACTAATGGTAACAATCTTGAATCATCTGATATCGGAAGTGAACCTCATACAACAGTGCCACTCATTCTGCATCAATAAAGTCCATGAGTAGAACAAACACCCCTTTACATACTGACCGCTGAGCGAGACGCATTCTAGCCTTCTGCATGTGCAGAATCACTGTTATATACTGGTAAGGTATCTTGTCCAGCTGCACCTTGGACGGATACTACTCCAGAGATGACGGCCGTCACCCACCAAAGCATGTTGATTTCCTCGCATAAACACAAGATACCGGGGACCGTCATAGAAACTCCGCACACCCATAAAGAAGTGGAAGCAAACTGCGTCAAAGTTGGTCTGAAGCTAGCAGGAGATGATGATTCCTGTACAGTTCCCAGGGATCTGACCCTAGTCTATACCCACTGCTTGTTTCCAAGATGCGAGACAAACGCACCACCCCATCCACCCTCGACGCTGGCCTTCTCCCAAACCGACCTGACCTGTCGGACGGATTCTTCCGGAGTGATTGCGCCCTTGAAGTGAGGCGCGTAGGCTACAAGCTTGCCCATGAGACTTGTTAAGCTCTCGATCTCTTGCGGAGTGGCTGTGAGTTTATGTTAATAAAATAACTCTATGTTTGCAATCTTCCAATAAAGGCAGGAAGGGATACATACCATCTGCGTAGCGGCCTACCTCCACCAAGCCTGGGCTAATACTCATGAAGAGCACGCCATCTTTTTTATACTGCGCGTTAAACTTGGCCACAATGATATTCATAGCTGCCTTAGAGGCAGCGTATAAAGCACCAGTCTCAACCTCATATTCATTGGTTAACTCAAGGTCAGCCATACCAGTAGAAATGGTAATGACCTTCTTGACCTTGCCCTTCAGGACAAGAGGGAGGAAGAGGTGGAAGAGGTGGATGTTGCCAGTAACATTAGTCTGTAGTAGCTGCGATGAAACAGCCTCAAGCTCCTCAACCTTGTCACTCCTATTGAACACATTAGCATTAAGTAGCCTGAACCATAGCCAGAGGGAAGTAGACCTACAATGCGCCGATGGGTCCATAGGCATCCAAGGTGGGCACTAAAGCCCCGTTGGCCACCAGGTAGTCGACACCACGCTCACCAACAATCTCAGCTGTGTCGGCAGCGGCTTGCTTTAGGCTGGCGTACTTGGTGAGGTCTGCATGGAGGATATGGACATTAGGATGGTCGCCCAGCTCTGCTACCTTCTTCTCAGTTGCAGCTTTGTCGCGGACCAGACCGATGACGAGGTTCTTCTGGTCTTCCGAGAGCTGCCTGAGGAACTCGAACTAGGCTGGATTAGATAATGACGGTGCATCGCAGTGTAGAAGACTCACCCCAATTCCTCTGGACACCCCGGTGACAACATAAACAGACATGTTGAGTGGATAAGTGATTCTAACTTGGATAGATTGTGTGTGTGTAGGATGCAATAAGGAGCTACCTAGTCTAGACTCTTTGCGAGGCGAAGCGTAGCATGCCTTTATATAGTTCAATTGGTTTGATAGAAAGGAGGTCCATAAACAATAACCATATCATACATTAGGTGCTTAATAATACTGCTTGATTAATAATAGATGATAGAATGGGATGGAACATGATCCGTGGGCCTACATAGAAGTGCCCCATGGAAGGTCTTTGTTTAAGCTCGGTGTTTTACCTTGCCGTGCAGGCTAGTGCATGCATGCATCCGTGGGGCTTTGCGTGCGTTGTGAGTGGTCATGAGACAACTCTCTTGACAGGAAGAGCTGACTAACACCATATGATGGTTAGCAAAGGACGGATCTCCAAGTCGACAACATTGGTCAATTATATTGCGCCGAGGCCAAAGCAGCAGCCAACATCAAGCTTCGAAATGGGTTGGCCATCTTGGCCTTCCTGTCAGTAAGCAGTGGCTTGGCTAGTGGCATCTAGCGTCTACATCGGCGCAAGGCTTGAAACAGAAATATCCAAAGACGAGTATGAAGCGGGTATATCAAACTAGCATATACAACAGGGATGTCTCCTAGCCCCCAACCACCGACCCATGAATCAGGGAATCAACAAAATTCCTAATAGCCTGTCGATGCACCCACGCCAATCGCGTCGCATAATATGTCCCTCCCCCCAGGAAGCCCAGCACCAAGCTTGAAACTGCCATCAGGTCCCAGTTCCTCGCCTTGTAAACAGGCATCCGCATATCCGCCATCTGGAGATGCATCGGCCGCGTCTCCTTCCCATCCACGACCCTCAGCTCCGTATCGTACAAAATCTCCTCGATGGGGTCCGCCCAGCTGCTTCCGCCTGGACGCCCCTTGAGCGATGCGCTGGAGGTGTAGGACATTGCTCCCGTAGCTCCCGTCGCGATCCTCCAGGATTAGCTTCATCTTCGTGTAGACTTCCTCCGCCGTGAAGCGGAACTTGTGCAGGACCTCGGATGTCCCGCCGGCGGCTAGTTTGGCCGCGTTGCTGATCTGGTCGAAGAAGAAGGGCATGACGAGCATGGGTTTGCCGTGGTAGAGGCCCTCGCTGGCACTGAATCCGCCGCCATGCGTGAAGTAGATTCGGGCATAGGCGTGATCCAGGATCGACCGCTGGGGGTGCAAATAAAGGGGAATAGCCAATCAGTATGCTTTCCATCCAGGAGGTCGCCGAAGCAGACGGTTTGGCCCGCAATGGTGAACTGATCTGCTGTGTCAAAGAGCTGCCGTCCGCTCTTACCTACGGACCAGATCACGCCGTCGATGAGCCCTGCTTCCATCGCCCGGATGAGTCCTTTGATGATTTTCCGAGCATCCGCATGCAGCAGGATGATATGCGTCCCCAGCGCGACGTAGATGGTTTTCGCGTGCCAGTCCAGGAAGCGCTGGTGGATGTCATCCAGCGGGGGATATTCATCTGACAGGATGGGCCCGACGGCGGCAACCAGCGGCGGGAGATCCTTTGGGACTTCCAGACCGAAGAACGAGTTGACCAAAACCAGATAATCCGGTTTCGCTGGGGTGGGAAGAAGATAGTTTAGACCCGCGCGTTTGCGCATCCCCTTCTAACCATTGACCCCGCTTCTTTCGCTTGAGCTTGAGACACTAGTCGAAAAGTAGTTCATGTGTCATCAGCGTCTGGACTTACCCCATGGTCCTCTGCTCTAGTCAGTCCATCCATTTTCGACTTCGAAGCTCAGGGGAATATCTAGAGAAGTTGAATACTCGGTCCGCACACCCCGTGCGTTGCTATTATCGATAGCTACCATTTAAGGTCACAAGGTGCGAGGATGAAGTACAGAGTAGGATGTTGGAAACCATTAAATCAACCCAGATTCAGACCAAATCAACCACGCCTGAACAGGAAAATTGTTTACCCGAGCTGACATTCTGTCACCGCCTTCCTTCTTCTCGCATGGCCATGGATTCAGGAGAAACACTGATTTATAGTCACTATATATATCTCTCTCATTCTTCAACAAGGCGTCGGTGTCGAAGGATGTCTCAAGATTTTGATCCGTGTGCTATGCTGAAACGTCGCTTGCTTCGCGGGGAGATCACATACGCCGCCGCAAAGGAACAAGACGCCAATATCCTCCATCAGTTGGGATACAGGGATCGGAAGATTCAATATTTCACCCATCTCTACCGAAATCAAAAGCAGATCAGGACAATCGTCGCCCATCATCTTGGCCTCAGTTCCGCGGACACATGTCGTATTGTTGATGTTGAGGACTGGATACATGGCAGCTTCAATGTTTGCATCCGGGTTGATGTAGATCCTGGGAGACAAGTCATGATACGATTCCCCTTGCCTTACCGGATTGGAGAGGATTGCTGCCCTGGTAACGCGGATGAGAAGGTCCGTTGTGAAGTTGGGACCTATGCGTGGCTTCAAGAGAATTGCCCAACTGTCCCTATTCCACGCCTTTATGGGTTTGGACTATCCACTGGCCAAACTGTACGACCTCCCTTTATGTGTCTTCCAATAAGACCGATTGCTCACAGTCCTAGTTTACTGTTCTTGATAATCTGCCTTTCATAACCCGCGTGATCCAGCGTCTACGCCGTCGTTTGTTAAATTGGTTGAACTATCCATCTCCATCCCCCTATGTTCAGCATCAGACCAAAGATCAAATTGTATTAGGAACACCCTACCTTTTGATTGAATACATTGATCCGTCTAGAGGGAAAATGCTTTCTGAAACATGGGAAGAAGGGCGCCACGATATCAAATTACGCACGAACCTTTTCCATGGTCTCTCCCGCATTATGTTGACCCTAGCACGTATTCCATTACCAAAGATCGGTTCCTTCACTCTAGATGAAAAGGGGTACTTGAGTTTGAATAACCGGCCTCTGACCCTGGAAATCCATCAACTGGAAAATGAGCACATCCCAGTTGACATGCCACAGAATACCACTTATGCCACTGTTGACTCTTATGTCAATGACATCCTCGCATTCCATGAAAGTCGGCTTCGCCATCAGCCTAACGCAGTCAATGACGTTGAAGATGGCTTTTATCAGACATCCGCTTTGATGGTAATGAGAAGCGTCTGGTCTTGTTTTTTCCGCCGTGATTTCCTTCGAGGCCCGTTCTTTCTTAATCTCACGGACCTTAACCAGACCAACATCTTTGTTGACGATGATTGGAACATTAAATGTCTTATCGATCTCGAGTGGGCATGCTCCCATCCAGTGGAGATGATTCATCCTCCGCATTGGCTAACAAATCAGGCTGTCGATTTGATCAGCATTGATGATTATGAAATTCTTCACAAAGAGTTCATGAGGGCCTTTGCAGAGGAAGAGATGAAAATCGAGCTACCAGTCCATCTCTATCCTATTTTGCAAGATGGATGGGAGAGAGGAACATTTTGGTGTTCTCTCGCGCTAAGCAGCCCTACTGCGTTATTTAAGATCTTTTATGACTTCATTCAACAAAGGTTTTCTAAGGCCCATGACGATCCAGCATTTTGGAAGATTACTATGCCCTATTGGACATTCAATACCTTTGAGTTCATTGAAAACAAAGTGAAGGACAAGGAGCAATACGACATCTCTTTGCGCGAAGCATTTGAATTCGGAGATCCCAAAACCTGATTCTCTTCACTCACTGTCCTTAACCTTCACGCTTGCTTCCCTCACCACCACTTTGTTCCTTCCTTTTGAAGTCCTCTACTGCAGCCTGAAGATTCAGAATGGATTTTTTCCCTCTGTTCTGCTGAGCAGCTTTGCCTGAAGAAGAGAGCTGATTGAGCGTCTTGGCGTCCATCTTCATAGCCACATTTGCTTCTTCAATTTTACCATCATAACTTGAATCTGAGCGTCGGTCCGCCATTTTGCATCCTGAGACATTACCAGCAAAAATTGTCAGTGGCTAGTTGAACATAAAAGTCCACTGCATTGATTTGGCTTCATGACTACCTTGAAAAAGCTTGGGGCAAAATTTCTTGTCAGACGGTCTCAGGAGATATACTGCCGGTGAGCTGGTGAGAATGTTATTCATTGCTCTATTGGCAGCAGGTAAAGCACTCACGTGTAATGCGAGAATATACCCAACGCAGGAAGGAAATATGGAGGACAAATGTGAATTCTCAAGCCTTGCCGTCTATGGAAAGCTAAGTGTTTGTTGCGTTGCGACGTACTCTATTGACCGTACAGCTTACTCAAGAGGCGCAGTCAATTTGCAGGACACTGAAGGTTTGGGGTATACTAGGTTAATCTAACTGCTGCGTGTCTTGTTTGGCCTGGAATTATGAAAGTTCCATGCGCTCCGAGTACTTATGCACAAGCACAGGAGGAGATAAGTTACATCTACAATCGCCATTTGGTCAGATCTGTGACACTGGCACTGGGAAAACTATGTGGCAACGATGCAGACAGCCATAGACTTTTTATTATTGGTCGCTGATCATGTTGGGACTAGTAGCTGCAAAGGTGGCAAGAAGAACATTAGGAAGCCAACCAAACCGACTCTGTAGGCGCTGATGATGTGCCTTACCTCTTAGTCTGCCTCTATCCTTATCTTAATGTTGCTTTTTGAAAGAGCTATATCTTGGGTAAAGTTTTCATTCCGTAAGTTCCATTGATCAAGGTGTTGGTGGTATTAAACTGCAGCCTGGTGGAGGAACTTATTAGAAGCCATGACCTTAGGCACTAATTAACTATGACTAGAGCGTTGTATCGATCAGTTTGGATTAGAGCCTACGAGGTAACCGGTGGTTGATATAAGATCTCTTATGCTTCTAGGGCTTAGGGCTTGGCGCCGTCTCTCACTGCTTACTGCCTGGCTGACAGGATGGCTAAGATGAGATGAGTAACAGGGTCTCAACGAAATAGTAGACGGGATTTCGGGGAAATAGTCTATTTCTCTCGGCTCTGCAGGACCAAAAGAAATTATGGGGTTACATATGCCTTTATATCTGGGAAGCAAACAATATAAACCTGGTTACCTGAGATGAACCCCCCGGTACGGCAAGCCTACCCTTCCAGACTTGGGGCTGTAGTAGGAAGAGCTGCAGCCGTATCGATGCTGCCGCTAGACCCAGCAATAGGGGAGTGTTCTTTAGGATCATTCAAAGTGTCATCAAGCTCGCAGTAAGGTCGAGTGCACGTGGCTTCAGGATAACAAGTGCAATCGTTTCCGCAAAAGGCACTTCCATGAACGTGGTACCCTAAACAATATGCTCCATGATGTTCACAAAAGTAAGTGTGTGCGCGAGTTGAGCAATTGAGATTGATAGATTATTGCTCTTTTCTGGAGTTTCTCGAGTAAGTACTTCGGTTTCGGGATTCGAGGTAATGGGCAGGGGCTAAGCCCACGGCTGTGAACACACATGTCCATGACCATGAGAGTGTACTATCGCCAGTTAGAAGAAAAAAAGGATGGAGAGAAGTGATCAAAGAAAGCTAGACGAACCTGGAGCTTCATGTTGCCTAGTATTCTAATGGGTAATGGAAGAGCAAGGATCTGTCAGTGCTGGACGCTGTTAAGTAACTGATGTACCAGGTCTCTCATCTCAGGTTTGGGTATGCCCCTTTATAGCTTCTATACCAGGCCATTCACACAGCATTCTCGGGTAGGTCAGCTCCAGAAAGCCATAACTCATCTTTGTCGAGTTATTCTTCTGTGATTTAGCGTGGTAGAGCACATTTCACATGCAACATTGCCTCCAACTCATTCCTGCATTGTAGAGGCCTGGGACAGGTCGTGATAGTTAAGAGAGCAGGGAATAGATGAGACTAGCGCTTTAGCTGATAGTATACTACCTTCTAATATATTGTAGGCATGCTTCTTTAGATGCAACTTCATGTACATGAGGTTACATAGGTAAATGCAAGTTGACTGCGGCAACATTATCACGCTAAGATATTTAGGCAGCACTCCAATGGCTTCTTAGAGCACCCCCTAAAGCTTGGTTTGATCCCTGCATTAACTGCGACTAGCATAAAAGTAGAGTTATATAACACAGACCTGCTTGCCTACATACTTTAGTTAATAGTATAGGTGCTTGCGTTTATATAACTTGCCAGAAGACTAAAGAGAGCAAGGTGGGTAGTCTCTGACGCATCTTCTTCTATAAATGTAATCCCAACAGATTCATGAGTTGGAACATCCCGTCTCTAGCCGCCAGGTCTTCACCATCTTCACCAAAAAGACTCTACCTTAATAGTCATTCTCTCAATATGAGACACCTCACGCAATGGCATCCGGAACACAAAGTCCCCATTGTGGACGGCAGATTCCAGGACCCAAACACCGGCGAGATTCAGCGGAATACCCCTACATGTGATGTGGTTCAACGTCCACGACAGCTCTTCATTCAGGGGTCTCGGGGCTACATTCAACGCGTCGATTAACGAAGTCTTCATTACGCTTGCGGAACATGTGAGAGACGGGGTTTATAGCATTATCAGCCTCAATGCGAGCTTGTACGCTGTGACTGTCGTCTGCGAGACGGACAAGGCGAGGGAGGAGGTTGGGGGTGTGATACAGGGTATGCAGCGGCGTTTGAATAGGGATGTGGTAATTCCGGAGGGGGAATTGGATGCTGTGAGGACTTGGAAGGAGGAGATGGGGTACGATGAGAATGATGTGGTTGGGGATGGGAGTGGGGGGGCTTCTGGGTATTCTTGAGTATGCGTGGTTGCATTGCTTCGTCTGTAACACTGGTCATAGGTTCATTGTGTCGTCGCTGTCTGATCTTTGTTGTCGCTGGTACGTCGAATATCAAGATGAGAGGATGAGCGTGATGATCAAGAGAGGGTGCAGAGATGAGAAGCTGGAAGCAACGGCTATTATACCAGAAAGTTAGGGTCCTTAAGGGCTAAAAATGAGGGTCTGAACAAAGCAAAAAAAAGTGAAGAGTGCATCATCTGTGAGTTGAACACGGGCCTCATCAATGGCAACGACGAATTCTACCACTAGACCAATGATGCTAGTTATTATCAGACCTTTCCCTTTTGAGCTCTATCTATCATAAATGGTTGGTTTCTCATAATAAGGTTGATACTTGAAGTGCTCACTGAGGGCTTCTATGGGAAGGTGACGACTATCCGGTTAGTCGTCTTCTTCAATGGTCATTGAGTGAGCGTTAAGCTTCGCTAAATATGAGGGATGTCCATTTCTTAGCTATATAAGGTCTTGTTTTACTTAATCCAGCATATATGACTATAGGGTGTGGAAAACAGCGCTCGCTTCTCAGGGTATATATGTAGTTCCCTACCTATCTCCTCAATACCATCCTCGTTATTGAGATGATTGCTATTGAACATTTAATAGGTTAGAATTATTCATTGCATTGAGAAGTATTCATATTCTCAGTACAGCACTTTGCTTTTTCTTTTTCCTTTTGTTTTTGAAAAAAAAAAAAAATACCCATTCATCTCGTGTGTTGAAGGCTGCGCTGTCTTGCAGTAGTTATGCAGTCATAACTCATTCATTGGGCTGACAAGGCTTACTGCCATAGATGGTGGAACATGGCGCATGGTTAGAACAGCATCCACCCTAAGTCCGTCTATACTGTCTGACAGTCTGACCGTCTGACCGTCTGACTGTATTCATTAGTTGTAGCCTCTTGGGACCGCACCTCCAGTTTCAACGCGGACATCATGCATAAATGCAATTTGCCAATGATCAATAATAGCCTGGAACGGCAGCATTGTTTCTATATCCTATCAGGACCACTGCCTAGAATAATAGGCAAGGGTCTGCAGAGGAGCTCTCTCTTCTGGCTGACATGTTCCACCACATGAACAGCTCACAGAAGGTCATGAGGGAAACGTAAGTATCTATTTGAATTGATATATCTCTCTTATTGTCTTGCTTCACCATCGTCCATTCCCACCCTTAAAATGCCATTCTATAACATGTATCTAGGCTTTCTTTATCGCCAGTTCCTGGTCTACCCTTCCATGGCCCCGTCCACTACCTCCCTTGACGGCAAAGCTGGTCTGGTGATAGGCTCCAACACTGAGGCCTCTGCTCCCATGGCTAAGCACCCTTTCAGGGACTCCTCGAAGCTAAACCAGTGGCTCTGCTCCTTGAACCTGAACTAGTCAGTGGAACTGCCACGCCTAAGCACTCTATTCAGGGTCTCCTTGATGCTGAACTGGATGCTCGATTACCCACTCCTCCATAACTACTTCACATTTGTGGCTGAGTGGGGCTCCCATCCCTCTTCAGCCATCTCAAACGACTCGAACAAGAAGGCCGGTGCCACCGTACACCCCACGAGTGTCCAGTCACCTAGACATTTCGCATGCTGCCACTCTCCACGCTCAACGATAGCTTGTGGCCGTTGGCCCTATATCAATAGATTTAAGCATGTTTATCAAGTGGCCGTGAGAAATAACTCACTTTTTTCAAATCAATCCCCAGAATTATATCCCGTTTAGGTTTCCCATCATTCCAGGATAGTGATAGTTGCAGAGGGGCGCCAGCGTAGTAATGCCATACCTCGGCGCCATCGACAACACGGTGCCATCGTGATAGGCCACTTTTTCCCTCGAGAAGGTAATAAATGCAGGTGCTATGCGAGCGATCGTTTAATGAATAGCGGTCGCGGAAGGTCTCGACGTAGTAGCCCTTTTCTGGATGTGGGGAGAGATTCAAGGTCTCAATGACCTCTTGTGCAGAATAATTTGTCGCCATGCTCTTTAGAAGGAGATGAGTGAAGACTACAAAGGGGGTGGAAGCTTAAAAAGATTTACCATTTTCTCCCTCACGCACTCATTACTAATGCCCTACTATAAGCTGACATGCATGAAAAGAGTGATAGGTCGCTCAGTCTCTATGGTAAGCTGTACCCTGGTTCATTCATTAGTGTTGGTCAATGACCCCTGCAATGGTCTGTATTTGAGTGCCTGCAAGTCAGCTCCATTTGTGGGATATGGCGACAGTGACGCTGGTAGAATCACACAGGGCCAGGTTTGGGATGAGACAATGTCAGAGTTGCGGCAGGTGGTAGACATTAACCAGCTTTTATCAGAGATTTAATGTTTATTTTCCTTGATATGCATGTTTAGATATAATTAATTACTCTTCCTCCATTCCTACTCTATTATGCTTAGCCATCTAGTTGTCCAAGTGAAAAATATTCTATGATATTACTTATTATTCCAAGAGAGAAGTGCTGCGGACCTGTTCCTCAGCCATCTTACTATAAAATCCAGAGTTGGAAATCAGCCATCATGTTCGCCCGCATTCACCTGCCCAGTCTCAAGTAACAGCTTCACCACCGTCTCACGCCCACTTGTAGCCACAGGAATAAGGTGTCTAACCCATCAGAGTCCTCTGAGTTCATGTCTACCTGCCCAGTTTCAAGTAACAACTCCATCACTGCCTCATGCCCATTCTGCGCAGCCCAGGATAATGGTGTGCGGCCAAAGCTATCCCTCACATTTATTTTGGCTCCTTCTTGAATAGATATCCAAGCTGTAGCCTGGTTTCCATGTTTGGCAGCCCATTGTAGTGCGGAACTGCCGGAATTTATAGAATTATGTTGATAGAGGCATGGGTTTAAGAGAGTGTGGAGTTGGCTGTTGGTTTGACATAATGAGTTGATATCTTTTTCTGCCTCTAGGGACGTCGCTAGTAATAGCAGTAATTCATTTGGCAAACAAAGGAGACACATCTTATGAATTTAAGTGCTGTTAGAAAGGTTGCTGTTTCTTGCATCAGATGAAGATGAGTTAGGGATAGAGAATTATTCCTCCAGCTGTGAGCAGCCTAAGACTAAGGCTGCAATCTGCATGTAGCCTCCGCGCTGATTGTGCTGAGTCATCTGTCTATGCATGTGACATGTCACATGACTTCTGTTGTTTGGAATAAGCAGCACAACCAACTATTTTCTAATTTGCAAGATGCTTCAGGAGGGATGAGTGGTAACTTGTACCTGCGAATCAGGACATCACAATCAGACATAAACAGGATGATGATATTACCCTTTATTGAATTATAATACCACTAGGCCAAAAGGGTGTCCGGACATGGTCCTCATCAGTCTAGGGTCTCATATCCATAGTCATAGTGGCATTATATATTTTAACACCCTTCATCCAAGTCTCTATCCGGGCCTAAAAGCACCGGTTCAAACTTCCGAATGGCATCTTCAGAGGTTGCGTCAGGACCGAGGTCCCACTCAAATCGCGATTGATCTCTTCTTCGCGTTTTTGGGGTGCCAGGCTTTTGTTTTGAAGACTTAGGGCATCTTTTTCGGCCCCTCAATTCAAAGCGGATAAAAAAGTCCAGGTCACTGGGCACGAAGAAAAACATCGGGTCCAATGCATCGTCGTACAACGATGGCAATTACTGCAGAGGTCGACAGCTGACAGCATTCGTTGTGGCGAGCGGGTCGAAGTCGATCAGGCCTCGTTCTTCCAAAAAGTTGATCTAGTCTTGCCGTTAGTGGTAACGCACTATCGTCACTATATGGAAACCATACTGATTCATCACACTCTGCGAGTACATGGACTACTTGCGTCTTGGCTTGTCCGCATGACCAACATCTCTTCATCTTCTTCTTAGCGTGCGATGGAACGAGCCAGATATGGAGGTAGCTGTTGGTGGTCGAGGAGGCGTTGCAAGTCCTTCTGGAAGACATGACATTATCAGTATCGCTTTTGGGGCTTTCGTGTAACACGTGACGAAATGGGAGTATAGAGCTGTATAGCATGAACAGAGTGCAACTTACCAGACTGGATCAAATCTGGATCAAATCCTCAAACTGTTGTAATCTGTACGGATGTACTCAGTTGAATTTTCAAACTGTTGTGGTCTGTGGTCAATCTCATGATGCATTGCCATACCGGCTTAGGAAGGAGCGGTTGCTTTCCACAACAGAGCTTTCCATTCTATGGCTCGCTAGGCAGCAGTACACAGGTCCCTGGTCATGATATGGGAAGAATAGCACAGTATTTATAAATTATAGTGGCAACGCAGTGGTCTATTATGCTCCTGTTATGTGTATAAAAATCTGATAGGTAAACGGGTCAAAGTGCATGTATCCAATGCTACTCTTGCCCTATAATTAATGTGTAATTTGGCATGGAGATAGCACATGCTGCGCGTCCTTAATACTGCTAGCAACTGACAGAGTCCATCATTTTCGAACGGAAAGAATAAGCCTAGTTTCTCTGGGATAAAAACAGATGGTAGATCCCTATTCATAGGCCAAGCAAGCTTTTACACACAGGTAGTGGCCTGGTAAATCCATTCGGAGCTCAAGTTTCAGGGATGCTATCCCAAGTCAACATTGGGCCTTGTTTACACCAGGGTCAATCACTGTGCTAGATATCCTTCACCACTAGGGCAAAGACATGTGGATTCTGGTACTGCAGTAACTGCACTGTGGCACTCATGCAAACAGCCATATATAGATCATTTAGTAGTTCTCTTGCATTGCGTTTAAACAACCTAGGCTATGTACAACTTTGCCTCCAGAAGCTGAGTCGCAAGGTGGCATCTTTCACTCTGAAAATATAGGATGTTCTGGGTACCCTGAGGCCCYGATGATAATCTTTGCGCTCTCCAAGATCCTTGATTTACTGTTGCCCCTAGAGTCCTGCGCGGTAAAGGCACCATGTGTGTCCTCGAAATCAATATCCTTGATTGCTTTCCAAATACCATGGACATCATCTGGGGGAAGCGGGATCTACTCTGGTTAGTCTATTGACAGTGTCGGGACAATGAACACTTACATAGTTGGGATACGACCACATGAACGCATATGAGACAGTACCAGGGGGACGGTCCACGCGGTAAAGCCCACTGGGAACGATCATAATGGTATCCGCAATCAGCAGTTTCCTCGCCGATTTCCACCACAGAACTGAACTGCCCGGGAAATGGCCTCCTGTCTTGATGGCGACGAAATCAGAAGTCCCATCCCCCGGTTGAGCTGAATCCTGTGCATGACTCGGAACAGAGAGTCGCTTTCCCTTCCACAACTTCAACCTGCGTCCATCGCCTCTGTTGGCGACCCATTCTTCATCCTCCGCAGAGATGTATAAATCACAATTGAAAGCATTCGCCCACTGGATGCTGGTGGAAAAGTAGTGCGGGTGCGAGATGACAATGGCCAGAATTCCTCCTAAAAAATTAATATGTCGGATTGTTTCGTCATCGAGGTATGTGATACAATCCCAAAGAACATTGCCGGAGCCAGATCCATCAAGGCAGAGAAATGCTCGTTGACCAATGGCAAATTTTGGGGCGGTTTGAATGCTGATGAGGTTGGGGTTCTCGGGGTCGGTGGTGAAGACATTGTGATACTTTACAGGTGATGCTTGGAGAGAGCGCAGTGTTGTCCAAGATTGTCTTTTCCATTAATCAGTACAAAGCTTTTCTCTCTGCCAACCAGCAAAGGTGAAAGGGAGCGAGAATTACCCTGATGGAGGAACATATTGTCGTGGATCATCGCAGATCTTGCAGGACTCCAATCCGGACGTGGCATCATACTGGACGCCGCAAGTGGAGCAGATCAGGAGATCTAAAGCAGAGGGATCCATTATGCAAGGTTGAAATAAAATGACTGAAAAGATTCTTGTATGATGTTTAACCTTGATGATCGTTTCTTTTCTATGGTGGTGGGACCGACTCTTTATTTACTTATTTCCACTTCTGTGATCCCATAATCATTCCAAAGCCAATTCTAAATGAGTCATTAGTCGCAGTCCAGATCGAATTGCTTATGTCGGTGGCTTTGATATCTAACTACTATACGAGGTGTTACAACTACTATACGAGTTGAGTTGAGTTGACTAGTAAATAAGAAGTTGCTGGCATCTTACATAATAAAAGAATCCAGACCAATTTACATTGCTGAAATGAACAACAGTTTACCAAGGCATGGCTCTGCGTAGAACCAAAGTCCAGAGCTCTAGTCACAGCATACCTCGGCATGACCTACTTTCTTGCGACCGCGACATGTGCCACCATCTCAATGCTCGCGTTTGCCTTCTCAATGTCACTCAAGCTTTCACGGAGCGCAGCAGGCAACTTTGCTCGCTCTTCTTCGCTCCAACCTTCCGTTACCGCTGATGAGAATGCAGCTTCCATAATATCAACCAAGTTATCCAGGTCGTTCCCTCTATATGCGACTGTTCGGGACTGAATTTGGATGTTTCCGGGTTCAAAGCCGCCGGATTCCAGGACTTGGCGAAGCTTCTCTTCAGTAAACCATGCCTCGCTTATCGGTAATTCCCAAGGAGTGCTGTCGGGCCGGACAGCTTTCTGCGCCCTGCGCACAGGCGACAAGTACCCCAACTTCGACCAGGTGGTTACAAACGCTGTCCCGCCAGGCTGCAGAGTGCGGTAAATATGCGAGGCCCCCTTCTCCGGGTTTCTAAAGAAGAGAATACCCAGGTTCGTGTAGGAGTGGGTGAACAAGTTGTCGGGGAAGGTCAGTTCCTCCGCATCCATGGTGGACGCCTCCACGAGACCGTCTTTGCCATTCACCCAGCCTTTACTCGCCGCCTTGGTGGCCAGGCTTGAAACCATCGAGGGCGCGAGGTCAGCGGCATAGATCTTTGGCTTGGAAGCTGTGGGAAAGCGTTCAAGAATCTCTTCGGTAATGATCCCGGTTCCGCAGGCATTGTCGAGCACAACCGATGAGGTGTCCACGGTTGGTTGGAGAGTGAGCAGAAATTGTG